AAAGCGCTAACAAAAATGTTTAAATTATTAACTTAAATGCTCACTAACTATTTATCCTTTGTTTTATACATATTTTTATAAATTTTAATATTACCCACTAATCAAGCAAATCGACTTTATTATATGAAACTTCTAAGTTAAAGAAAATTATTTTCCATTTCATAACTGTCTCGTAAATCCTAAAAGTCCAGTACAACTAATTTTACAGTCAAAAGACAAAAGATGAGAAACGATTTTGAGGTACATTTAGTAAATAAGTCAGAGTGCACTCAAATAGTGCATTTGGCAATAAATGAAAATAATAACAAAGGACCAGAGACCTCTAAGCTCCGGCCACAAAAGATGACAAAGACAAAAAACAGAGAGAAGTTAAGCTCTAAACTTTCAGGGTTGACTTTCAGAAATAAAGAGAAAGAGAAGGGACTTCGAATTTTTAGGATTTTGGGCTGCTGAAAAATGCAAAACTCTGGCCAAGACTGCGATGCCCCGCCCACTTAGAGCTAACAGAAAAAAGGGGCGGATACCCATGTTAAACTCTTTGAGAAAATGTCGCGCATTGTTTAACTGGAACTATGCTGTAAGTTATTTCTTTATTTTAAGTCACGCTCGCCATTGTGAGATTCTTTTTTATTTAGGATCCGCCAAACTCACACACATACGCACAATTTCCAAGCGCGACATTTTGCAAATTTTTCGGGAAAAGCAGGAAACCCTTTCTTTGCGACATGCTTAAGCACAAGCTTTATGAGGCCACTAAAAAGGGGAAGTGAATGCGCAGGAAAAGGGGAAACAATATTTTACCGAAGTGTGTGAGCTGTTGAGGACACCAACAAAAATAAATAAGTTTGGTCATGGGACTTTAAAGGAACTTGTTTGTAAAATCCGTTTGTACAACCAGTTTAAAAAAGTGTATTAAATAGTTTTGGTTGGCTTAAAGGTGACCAGAATAAGAATGATGCTTTTTAGAAATGGTCAAAACATATTGAAATTAATGTTTAGTGCCTAAATACATAATCTGTAACATACTTTAATAAAATCTTTTACTTCTATTAAAATAAATACCATTTTATAAATATACTTGAAATAATCCCTTGGAATTTTTCTGTGTGGATCTGAGAATGTTTGCTGGTGTTAAGTCAGCTAAAAGCCTTTGGTCCAACCACTTGAATTTTCGGGAGCAGCGTAACTTTTTAGGAACGGATGCAAGCTGAATTACACGAGATAGAAAAGAGAGGGAGCTCGGGGCTTAGAAGGCGGGATTCACAAAGCCAGATGACTATTTGTGGGGTGGCGAAAAGACGGGATGTTTCGGGGGGTCAGTGAGCCCGAAAAAGTTTTATGCGAGCGCCAAAAGTGCAGTCAACGCACTTAGGGGCAAAGTCTAAAAATATGAGTTGCGAATGGGATTGCTAAATGCGCAGAAAGTGGACCAAATGGGGAGAGCTGAAGGGGGAATCCCACGCTGGAACTGCGAAAGTTTTCGTTTAAATAAATGTGGCAGCTTAGCCAAAGGCATCTGGCTTTGGAAATAAATTTGGTAATGAGGCGAAATGCGGCGGGAATTTGTTGAAATTGATTAGAGGCTACCCGAAAGACGTCCTTGAGTATTTTAGAATACTTTGAAGATTTGATTTTAATTTGTTTTTCTTTACTGTTTAAATACAAGTCAAACTTATATTATACACAAAATGTTTAATATAAGAAGAACTTTTTAAATAACTTTTATCTTGATGATTCTGTTTCAGTAAATCAAAAAATTAGGTGTAAATTAAGAATTAAATGGCACCTTTAAATGTTTTCTCACCTAAGTACATAAACTAAACATTCAAGCCTAAATTGTAAAATTATGCATTGTTCTTTTTTACAAAAATATAGTAATTAAAGAGCTTTTATGATATTTAAACAATAGCTGTCATAAAATAATTTAATGAAATGCAATTTAACGCCCAGCTGCAAACACTTGATTTTTTATATCACAATGTTGATACTTTTTTTCTGACGCATTGTTGCAACATTTGGTTAACTTTACAGCCTTTTGAACCATGCTTTTATTTGCTTAACACATTTCCTAGTGTTTCCCTCTCGTTCTGACTTTTCTCTATCTATCTCTTTCTAAGTACATTTTTGCCGTTTTCTCTGGTGAAATGATTTATTGCGTAAATTTCATTAATTTGCTGCGCTGTCATAAAAACGACAGCAACGCAGAAAGCGAAGAAAAAAAGTGGAATAAAATAAATTTGATTTGCTCCTGTATGCATAAGCTTATGAGTGTGTGTGTGTGTGTGTGTGTGCGGGTGCGAGTTGTACGTGTGCGTGTTGAACAAATTTTTATGGCCCACCTATGGGCGCTGCATACACTCCAAATGGTATTTATGGCCCGCCGCCAGAGAACTCATTATACGATCCCTCTTCTCGCCACTCGAAATCGGAATTTTAAAATACTTGTACATTTTACGCTCGTGGATTTTATTTTTTTTTTTTTACAATGTCAAGAACACATGTTTGGTCCTCTTGGCTAAGACTACGTGTCAAAAATTAAAAATGACACTCGCGCGTTTTTAGCCAAGTTTATCAAGTTATAAGGAGCATATCTCCCTATTTCTGGGCTGTTGTTCCTAACTCCTCATGCATATAAATCCGTCCGTAATAGATCGTGTCTAATTTATGAGTTACGCGAGCGTTACAACAACTTATTACATCACACCCGTACACATACACATGCGTGATTACGTGGGCGCTGCGGGAATTTCCGATTTTTTGTATACTCTTACAGAGAGTTACATAACCACATTGCACCCATATGAAAAATCTAGGAGTTCCAATAATTCATAAAACGAAAAAACCGTAACTACTTGAGTTGCTAAACCAATTCATTTGAACTAAATCTACAAAATCTTTAAATATCAATTTTTTATATAATATCTTATTATTAAAAAGCTATTAATAATCTGGTTCGATTTATATTAATTTAATCTCTAATTTAAGTCGAGCATATTTCAAATTCGGTTTTATGAAATTAATTTTCGTTGTCGTTCTTTTCTGCATTCTTCTAATTTACGCCTTGCGTGCTCTTGGCCAAAAACTCTTGGCCCGGCTCGAGCATTTTCCATTAAGTCTGCAGCTGCTTGGCTCATAATTCATGCCACCCACACACTTACACACACACTCACACACGGGCAGAGACAGTCACAGATTGGGGCATGTTAATTTGTAGGCCAGTGCAGGCGGAAGTCCTTTTTGAGGTCTTTAAACGCAAATGAAAGGCAGGCCGAAGCTTTTACTGCCTGCCATGAACCCATGTATCACTTGAGTTTCCCTCTCTTTCCCTTTTCCTCTTCTCTCTCTTTCACACTCGCACTTACAGTGCGTGCTGCTCTAAATTAGATTTTCATTTGCGTTGCCGTTGTCCTTTCGGGTTTCTCCCACTCCAATTCCCATGCTAGTTATCGGGCAAAGGACCTAGCACTTTACGACCTGAACGTAAAACCCTTTTACATATATGCACCACAAAAGCGGGGAACCAAATCAATTCGGGAATTAATTAATCCAGCCAAGTAGGAGCTTACTAAACCAAGTAGTAAATGTGTCATATGAGGTTACACCTTCAACACATAACCGGAAAAAAAAATAAGAAAATTCCCCACTTTATGAAACACCGAACCTGTTTGGAACTGCGAAACAATGTGAAACAATTAACTCATTACGGGCGCTCATTAAGTGCCACAAGTTGATTAAAGCCTTCAAAACTTTTGCAGAAAAGAATGTTGGCGATGGGATCCCTTCCCCAAACAAAACGAAAATCCCAAACAATTTGCTCCCTGGCGAGACTTGTGACAAGTGAAGTGCCTCTCGAAATATGCCCAAGATAAAAATGTTTGCTGGTGTTGGGTGTTTGGTTGTTGCTTGTTGGTTGTTCGGTTCTTGCTGTTGCCGTTGCCTGTCGACAAAACTTGGCAATGGCAAACTTCTTAAAAATACTTAAGAAGCGATAAATATCGCAAGTACATACATACAACATATATACGCACACGAAGGGTGGCCCTTGTGACTCTTGAAAGTTAGCTCAAGTTGCCTATTTGTTTCCCTTCATCCATGTGCCTCCCTTTGATCCCCCGATTTATATATATATATAAATATATATCGGTAAAATTTGCGCTGCCAACCCACTTGTTGTTGCTGTTTAGCCTGTTCTCATTATCTTTTAACGTTATTATTACGTTGCATACTTTTTGGGGAGCTTAGCTGTCATGCCATTCCATTATTTTGCCTCTGGAACAAATTTCTTTTGCCTTTCCCGCCTGTTTGCTTGATTATTATATTTGTTTTGGCTTTTGTTTTCGTTTCGCCGGCTTTTGCTTATTAAAAAGTTGCCATCGATTATGCGAAAAGTTTGACATCAAAATATTAGAAAGAGGTGGGGTAGGATGTTGTTGCCTAGCATAAGGCATTTCAATTTGAGCTAAAATTACAAGAATTGCGCATAAAAAAACTTCAATCGACTCGCAGATCAGAAATTTAAACTTTTTCCGAACACGCGCCGCAGAAATCAATAAACCAAATGACAGCTAATTGGCAAGTTAAATGTGAAGTAAATCAAAATATGATTTAATGTACATGTTCTTTAATTTATATTATTGTTACATTAAATCTAATTGCAATAAGCGGAAATACTTCTATTCTCGATCTCTTTCAACTTGTATAACAGTTTTTTTAGCCAGTTAAAATGTGATATATCCTTCGTCGTAATTGGGTCAGTTCTTCATAAAACCAATTTTGATTGATGCCTTAAAATGATTTCCAAGCATTCTTCGCACAGTTTCTATCGGAAAATTCCTTGATAGAAAAGTAAATACCTCCCCATAAAATATTTGTACATATTTACAAGCACACACTCCTTGTGATACTCTGGCAAACAATGAAATCAATTTAGAATAGACTTTTCAGCACACATATCGCCTAAGCCTAATCTCATCTCTCACTCTTTGGCTGTCTCTTTGCAGTTATTATAGACAAACAACCGGCGGCGACTAAGCCAAGTCTATTAACAGGGCAAACAAAGCCAGGCCGCCAAAGGAAGCTGAGTCTCTCAAAAAAGAAACCAAAAATAAAAAAAAAGCCAGAGGAAAGCCAAAGAATGTAAGCGTAAGTGTGCTAAAGTAGAATTTCGGAAAAGCTGGCAATGAGAGGGCCAAGACGACAAGGGGCGAGGGCCAGAATTGAAACAGTTAGCTGGCAAATCGGATTGCGAATCTGCTGTATTGACACAAGGAAATCGTTAGCCGGCTTAGCCAGCAAGAGGGCAAATTTAAAATTAAGAATATAGCAAGCCCGCCATTGGAATCAAAGTGATATGCTAATGCCGTCGCCGTGGAGTGCGGCATGAATATTTCATGAGCAGTGTGATGACAATAAGTCGGCTCCGGGAATAAAAGTGAGTGAAATCGGGACGATGACGGAGCTAAGACGTGCTAATGGCCTGCACAAGCAGCACTCGCTGAGAGATCAGAGACAGGTGCACCCGATGCTGCACCAGCTGGCGGATCACGGTTGCAACTTGAGCAGCGGTGGCAACAGTGCGGCCAGCACCACCAGCAGCAGCACCGCCACCGCAACCACGGCCCTTGGCGGTGGCTTGAGTGGCGGTGCAGCAGTAACCACTCAGCGGAGCATCGAGTTCGATGAGCACGACATCTTCTACGTCTCGCCCTCAAAGCGAAAAGGAGCCACAACAGGTGGGTTGCTAATCGGGTTACCGCCTAATTAACTCGAATCGATGTCAATTACAATTTAAATAGGGTTATTAAACGAGCTTATGACTTCATTTTAAAAGAAAACTGCACAAAGAATGGAGTTTCTTCCATTTTTCCATTAGAAGTTCTTAGCTGTTAAAACTTTAAGCAGAAAACTCATGTTGAGCAGTTTACAAAACTTATAAAAAAATCTTTACTCTTTGAGTCTTGCCCTTATAACTTTACATTTTACAGAATTTATTTGTTAAAACGATTAAAAAAGCAAAAGGCACTTTTATTAGTTTTACAAAAAATTTGCAAAAAACTTTGTTCTTGAGTTTGTTTACTTTTGCTAAAACTGAATGAATATTGAAGTGATTGCAAAACTAATATTTTTCGCTTTGTATTGTAATTTTGAAGATTTTGTAGTAAATTAATTACATACGCGGTTATTAAATTTCAATTCCTTTTTACTATTGTGGTTTTCTGATTTTAAGTCTTCAAACTTTTTCTGCAAATTCTGCTTTTCAGGATCCTCTGGCAACGTGGTGACCTTTTCGAACTTCGTGAGTGAGCAGCGGGTGACGCCCTCGTCGTCGAATCGAGGCTCCCTGAAGCGGAGCAAGGGCCGCTCCAATCAGTCGCTGTGCAGCTGCGATGCCGGCGATGAGGCTCAGCTGGATTTGCAACCGAATGCGGCGAGGCCGTTGTACGAGTACAGTCTGGAACGCAAGCGTAAGACGCACACCTACTCCTGCGAACAGAACGCTCAGATACTCATGAGACTGGAGCGCGAGCGTAATCGTAAATTATCGCTGACTGGCATGGAAACGGGAATGGGAATCGGATTGGGATTGGGATTGGGAGCAGGAACGGTGATGGGAATGGGAATGGGATCTGCCGGAGGAGGAGGAACAGGTGCGGCAGGAGCGGACCCCCAGGTGAGTAAAATCCCGCTCCACTTTGTGTAATTGTAATTGTAATCATGAGCAGCCAGCGGCACGTGCCTCCACCTGAGTTTTGGGCTCCTGCAACAGGCAAATGCGATAAGCAAACAGAGCGTGGCACGTAGTAGGTTGATGTTGTAGTCTAAGCACCGACTGACTGACACCTGCCACACCCACCGACCCCGGGGCGCAGTTCGCCTCCGAGCTGTTTCCCAATTCCAAGGGGAGTGGCGCCTGAGAGTCAAGCGTTGAAGTTCACTGAGCATTAAGGCACATATGAATTTTGATTGTTGTGGCGAGAACTGCCATGGAAGTACTCGAAACCGATAAAATATTTAGCGGAATGCAAAGTGGATTTCAGAGATTCTGTTTTGACTTTCCTAATATTCCCAGAGGTAGATAAAAATTTAAACCTAAAGTGGTTTGACTTGTTCAAAGTAGAAGTTTTTATTTTTAGTCCACTAAGTGTTAAGTTTTTTCTCAATGAATATCAAATAAAATACCTTTAAAACTTGACGATAATATTTACAATCGAAAACTTATCGTAATCGAGTAGGTCGATCTCTAAACTGTCGCCTAGTTTGAACTGCCCGCCCGATTTACAAACAGTATACGTTCACACTCAGAGCATTGATCTTGATATTCGATATTCGTTTCCGAACTAAAACTTTAGTAGCTTTTTAAATACAACAAAAGAAACAGTGTATCATCATGGCGAGCAAGCGATTGGCCAGCGTGATGTCCACCGCCAGTGTGATGCAATCGTCGGCATCGATCTCCAGCAAGGCGAAGCGGGTCAAAAAGGCAAGGCTGCCGACCTTTGACCTCTCGCTAAGCCAGAAGGTAGATATTAAGAAGGCCTTCGATTTATTCGATACCCAGTGCACGGGGTTTATCGAAGTGAAGGAGCTTCGCGTGGCCATTCGCGCTCTGGGATTCGAACCGAAAAAGGAGGAGATCAAGCGCATGATGGATGAAATCGACAAAGATAAGACCGGAAGGATTGCCTTCAATGATTTTCTGTATTTAATGCGCCTGAAAATGGCCGAGAAGGACTCTAAACAGGACATGATGAAGGCCTTCTCCTTTTTCGATGACGATCGCACAGGGAAAATCTCCTTCGCCAATTTGAAACGCGTGGCCAAGGAACTCGGGGAAAATCTAACCGATGAAGAACTTCAGGAAATGATCGATGAAGCCGATATGGATGGTGATGGCGAGGTGAACAGGGAGGAGTTCCTCAACCTCATCAAGAAGACCAATTTAATCTAGTCACTTTTCGTTTAAATTTATTTTCCACATCTTTTGTGTTGCGGGGAAACGACGTTGTTTTTAATCATATTGATTTACACATTTCAGGCTGACGATTATACAAAAGTTTCTTGAAGAAGTTTGGATATGCTTCGGTTCAATAAAGCAACGCACTGCAAATGCATTCCGAGAACCTTTCTCCTTCGACACATCCAATTATTTCCAGTATGTGCCACACTTACTGGGTGCCACCTGTTCATCCCCTTTAATTGCAAAAATGTACTCACAAAATCTCGTTGCATTAAACACATGGGTGCAGGTAGAATGCAACACTCGCTAAAATACCCTCTAAATTATAATTAAGATATAATAGTATATTGGAATTTAATAGACAACCAAATGCATTTTTTTTAACAAGCAATAAATTTCAAGCACAAAAGCCTTTCAAAGATTTCATATTAAAAAAAAATTTCACACTTTAAATTATTGAACTTTCAGATGGCGAGGTATCTGAAAGTTCGCCCTTTATGCCTCAGCTGCTGCTGTTATTTTTTGCGACTTTTCTGGCAGAGGCCCCTGTCATGCATAACAAATCTCTTTGACACATTTGATGTATGCCTTTCCATGGGCCTGCTCCACTTTCGGTTTTCAGTTGAGTTTGTTGCAGCAAATTGTGGCTGCAATTTGGTGGCATGCGTGGGCGCTTTCCCAACTGCCGGAAGAGCTTTCCCATTTCCCATCTCTGGGCATCTCTTTCTCCTTTCCCTTATTCACTCTTCAACTCAGTGTCTCCGTTCCGCTGTTCAAACGGCAAACATAATTTAGTAGCAACGTTTTTGGGTTTTTATTTACGCCATGCGTTACATTTAGCTCCATATAGTTGTTAGTCGCTCTTGGGCTTTAAATTTATCAACTTCTAGTTGAAGGAATGGATGGGAAGATTGACGGATGGACTGATGTATGGATGACTGACTGAGTGAGTGATCAGAATAACAATTTATGGGTTCCAGCAGGGTTCATGTGCAGGCAACATATTAATTTCAACAAAAAAAATTGCTAATTCTACATTGCTTATGTACTCAAAACGTTTTAAAGGAAAAACGCTTTAAGCAAATATATAAAAACTTCGATTTTAAAAGGGTTTTAAACGGATATGCTAGCAGTCAGTATAAATAAAAAATTAGCGCAGAACTTTTATAAGCGCTTAAGCCAAAAACAAATTGATATATTTATAATAAAGTGTGGTGAGAGAAGAACATAAATTGCCGGCAATATGTGTATCCTACTCACACGCAGCTTTTATGGCCAAACTTGCCACGTCTAGAGCCCTAATAATTAGCCAGTTTTTCTTTTTTGGCCAGCTGGCCTTAAAAGCCAAAACAAAAGCCGAAATGGCCCTTGATAAAGTCGTAAAGTTAAAAGCTCTGATGGATAATTACAAATTGGCAGGGAGAGTCCTCGGACTTCAGGAAAAACTAAAACAAACTTGAGTATTTATAAAAGTTTTTTGCTTATTGCTTTTGCCAAATCGATTAAAGGCGATTGTATTGTCGAGGGTGAGGGATGGACCGCCAGCTCAGAGACAGCCAAAGTTCCCAGTAAAATATAACCAACACTCAATTTTACGAACATTTAACTAAATACCCGAACAGAGGGAAAAAGTGAGACAGAGAGATGTTCGTAAAAAAGTTTTTCGCAAACTACAAAACTGCCATAACTCAACATTACGCCCGACACACAATCCCCTTGCTTTCACCATTTTTCCATGGCGAAATCGTTGTAACTGTGGCAAGAAAGTTGAGAGAAGGGTGCACACACATACACACATACTCACATAGATTCATAAATTATAGTAAAAAAATTGCACAAAATTGCAGCAAAGTAGACGAAAAATTATTATAAAATGTGCATTATGAAATTTAAAACGAGACAAAGACGCAAAGCATAATTCAAGAGAACAAGAAGATGAGACGCGAGAAAAGGGAGCCTGAGGAAAAAAAAAATGTTCATGCTAAAAAGTGGCTAGGAAAAGCGGGGATAAAAATCGCGAGGAAAAAGTAAGGCGATATATCAAGCAATTTTATGCTTAAAAACGCAACGAGATGCGGTTCACCACAACCCTTTAGTTTTGCCCCCTTAACTTTTCAAGCCCTTTCCCAACCCCATAAACTTTGCGTCAAATTTGCGGCGTAAACGCCAAATAACCGTATACTGTTGCATACATTTTTGCGAATTTGTTCGCTATATAAGTGTGTGTGTAGCCAAGGATAAATGAAGTAAAAAAGTCCTCGCGAAAATAGAGAAAGCGAGCGTTTAATTAGAGAGTGATTTGTCGTCTCAGCAGCTGCAAGTAACTTGTGAAAAGCTCGAGGGAAAAGGAGTGAGTACTTTCAACAACTAAAGCAATGATGCAAAAAGAGTTGAAAGAGACATATAAATACTTTCAATTATTCAGGATATTAATTAAAAAGTTTTCACAAGACGATTGAAGCCATTTCAAGCTTTAAAAGAAGATAAGTCCTTTATTGTTTAAGCGTTTAGAATAAGTAACACAAAGCAATCAACTTAAATTGTTTTTATTATATAAAGATAATGGTTAATTTTCCAATAAAAAAATTGATCTGATTCAACAGACAAAACCAATTAACCTTGCCACCAAAAAAATCCAAGCTGTAAGAAAAAAAAAATAGAAAAAAATTCAAAGCAAGACGACCGTTTACAAATTGGCCAGTCTTAAAATATGCAGCACACGCCACCGCTAAATATTTGCATAAATTATTTGGGCTGTCGTCGGACGGAGGGCAAAAGAATAAATAAATTACCAAATGAAAATATGAAAATTTCAATTTCCACTTAAGCGGCGGACAGGATGCGACAGGACACGACACCGCCATTGAAAAGGACAAGACAAAGTAAATAAAAATAATCAACAAAAAGACACAGACAACAATAACGAGCCGAGGGGCAAGGTGTGGCACATTCCATTGGACTGGGCATAAAGCAATCAAAATTCAAAGGAAATTTTTATTAATGGCAATGCGTTTCGTTTCGCCCAGACGCATAAAAATAATTCTACCCCAAAAAAAAAAGGAAAAAAAAAATGTGGAGGAAGGCAAATCAATGCAAATGTATTTCCCGTAACTGAAATTCAATTTCAAGTCCCTAAGCATCTCCTCTCGATGATTATGAGGCCGACGATGAAGATGATGATGATGACTGTAATGCTGATGCTGACCGTAGCAAATTCAATTAGGGCACTTGGCATGGCCTCGACTCCGGGAAACTTTGTGAGAATTCGGGGGATAAACCTTTTTCTTGGCCTTTTTCGCACGTCTTTTATAGCCCTCTGTGTGTGTGTGTGGGAGTCTTTCCCGGAGTCTGCCCCGGTGTCTATGGCATAATTAAATTTTATGTAGCCGGGGGGTCAAAGGAACGCCTTCACCCTTCCACACTTTCGCTCCATCATTGTAAATCACTGGCTCCTTCTGGCAAATTTTCGCCAAGTAACGTCAAAAGAAGTGCGTTGCATATTTTTCTGGGCTCGTTATAAGTGAAGCGAAAGTTTTTACGGCATTGAGGGGCTGTTTTTATTTCATATTCTTCCAGAGAAGACTTTAATGTTTGCGGATAGTTTGCGTTGTTTACTCTATAAACAAATACGTGTATATAAAGATAATTTTCTCAAAAGTTCAAGAGGATTAAAACCAAATACGAAAAATGGTTAAGCTAAAGTAAAGTAGTAGTAGTGAATATCTTCATCGTAGAGCATTTAACAGTTTCGATAGGCTCACAGTAATCGGATCCCGTGTTCAATCCTTTACGAGTGCACGATGTGGGGTTACATCCGCCGGAAGCTGCTCATGTCCATATTGATTTAATGCGATTTCCCCTTTGTCAACAGCTTGATACTGACTTCCTTTCCCCCTTTTCTCTCACTTTTTCCAGAGTGACACGCCCAGCTTGTCGGATGTGGATGTTATACCGCCCGTGCCGCCTCCTCCGTCGATGAAACGCAACGGCAGCATGCGCAGCCTGCGATTGTTGCAACATCTGCAGCAGCAGCAGCAGCAGCAACAGCAACAGCACAGCAGCAACAACAACAACTTGTCGCAGCTGTGCAGCAGTGATCTGCTGCAGGAGTGCACCAAATCGGCACTGGATGAATGCACTGCCACATTGCTCAAGTGCACCACAACCAGCAATCTGAGCAGCAGCAACAGCAACACCAACAGCAACTGCAACAGCAACAGCAATGCGAGCAACAATTGCAACAACACGAGCAACATTAGCCACAACAACAACAATCAGGTGACGCCAGACCTTTGCCAGCCCCATGGCCACGCCCACAATCATAGGCACAAGCTGCCAAACAATGCCACGCCCACCAACCAGCACCAGCACCCACACCCACACCAACCACCGCCCCCGCCCCCTTTGCCGCACACGAGGAGGACGAAATATTCTCGCCGCACTCGAAGAAATCGGATCCGAGCTTGTGCTTCCTGCCAGGCGGCGGCGGCGGTGGCAACGTATCCTCGAAATACAATACCATTGGGCCGAGCAGCGATTATGCCAGACACTTGGCGCACTACAGTCGCTACCTGCAGAAGCAGCACCACCAGCAGCAAATGGCGCACTTTCAGCAGCAGCGATGCCGCTGCTTCTCGCAATCGCTGTTGAGTTTCCCCCAGCAACATTTATTGCAGCAGCAACCACAACAACAGCAGCAGCAGCAACAGCAACAGCAGCAGCAACCGGCAATCTTTCACACCAGCAGCATGGACTGGTCGCTGCCAATTAACAGTCGCAGCTTTGGCAATTTGGTGAACATCGATGGCTCCGGTGGCAACGGTGGTTGCCGTGTGCCATATCAGAAAATGTCTGCGAATGCCGTTTCGAGTGGTGGTGGAGTTGGCATTGGTGGTGCAATGGGAAATGGTAACTTGGGCCCGGCAGCCTCATCCACCTTTACGCTCACCTCCTTCGACAGCGATATCGGACATGGGCTCAAAGAACGCGAATCGCAGACATCGCTCCATCATCCGCATTCACATCCGCATCCGCACACGCACTCGCATCCGCATCATTATCACGCCCATGTGGGCGGTGGCGCGGTGGGCGTGGCTGGTTCGGGATCGGGTTCGGTTACACCGCAGAAGCACCACCAACTCCACTCGAGCGTCACGAGCATCATGCCGTGGAAGCACCGCCAGTGTCCCAGTAGGGGATCCTCCAGCTCCGGCACGAACTCTTTCCGTAAGTACGGGGGATTTTCGGATTTGGAATTCGGGTTGTGGTCGCGGGAGGGATTACTGTACCGGAGAAGGGGTTCGTTGGAATTTCAGTTGATTTTTAGACAAAGGGGTAATCATATCAAATTTAAAGGAGCGACAAGTAAACTAAAAAAGATATCAAAAACAAACAGTAAGGCAAAAAAGAAAAATTAAATAAGGTTCAGCAAAGAGAATATCCAAACTTATATGCAGACATACTTATTCGTTCTCCGATAAAAGGCAATCTTAAACAACACTTACACAAATTGATTAAAGTATTCTTTTTAAGTGAGGTATGCATATTTTGTTTTTACTTCTCTCAAGTTTTAAAGTTTTTCTTAAGATTTCCGATCTGTTTCAATGTCAAAAGTCACCTAGCATTTTGAAACCTTAACAAGCCTTAAAAATCAGTTGATTTGCAATACCTATTTAAGATCGTTCATTATTAAGTTTGGCTGTCTCTTTGGGAGCTGGATGCATCGGTATTTACCCGGCGTTTCTGCCAGACGTTGTACATGACATTGCACTTAATATTCCGCTACCCGTTCGCTTCTGTGCCACGCCCCCTTGGGGACATTGCCATTTAGTCGTTAGCCGTTTGATTGCGCTTCATGTAACATGGCTGCTAAATGTTAAACGCTGCCAATGCCCGCGTGACTTTGGTCTCATCATCATCAGGAGGAACATCGGCAGTGGCAACGTTGTCATCCTCCATCTGCCATCCAACATCCAACAGCCACCATCTCCATCCCCATCCATATCCTCATCCCCATGCCCATCCCCATCGTCATCATCATCAGTCTCCAGCTCATTCCAATCCTCGTCATGTCTCCTGGCAACTGCAATTCGTTAGCAGTCAAAAACTGCGTAACTGCGGACGATGTCCTGTCCCCTTAAATTTATGCAAATCGCTGGTGCGGCCGCTGCCAACTGGACTCTTTACACTGCCAGAAAAAACGATTGCATAGTTTCATTACTAATTTGCATTCTTTATTATAAATCAAAAGATTTACTGATCGAATAACAAAATAATAAAAAGGATTTGTATATTTTTTTGCCATTAATCCAAACACGAATTACTAAATGGTATAATCAAATAGTTGATGAAAAGATAATCTGATAAGCTGCTGATCCGCAAGTCGCCTTAATTTCAGAAATTCAATAAGGCTCAAAATCTTTTATAGCTACCAAAAAAGCACTTTAATTCAATAAATCAATCTTAATTTTTAGCCTCAGTGCCAACATTTCTAGTTCACGTAACAGCACACCTCACCACCCGATTCTCGTTGGGTTGCACATTGCCTTTCATTTGCCACTTGCTTATCAGTAATTCACTTTGGAGTCGCCCAAGTGCTGGCCACTGTAATCAAATGGATACATTGCATCCATCGCTCTTCCTGCTGGCTGAGTCCAAGTCCGAATTCTGACCCGAACCCAAAGGGCAGCAGCTAGTTTTTCGCCTCACTTGGCTTATTTGCTTAGCTCGAGCTTTAGTTACACATCTACAATCGCCTTTATCAATTGGATTTAGTTGCATAATCAAATTTGGCTTGCAATTACACATTACCAGACGTCATTGATAGTCGGCATAAGTGGAATCGTATAATGAGATTTGCATTTCCATCGAAACGCTCTGATTTAGTTTCATGTGGCTCAGATTTCAATTGAACAAGGAGTGGGGGATATTTATTCGACCAGAAAGCCTTCGATGTAAGAAGTAATTAGTAGCAATGAGGACTTTGTCAAGTTTATACTATACAGCTTTTGTGCCGAAACACGAGCATATGTTATAATTTAAGTTTAAGTTTTATAACTAGTGAGTACAGAACAGATCATCTCTCTCAATATTTAGTTACCAAAAATTGTGTTACTGCTAACAAAATATTCCCGGAGCTAAACGAACGCTTCTTGAATTACAAAATAGGAATCCTCGTTGTGAGCTAATTTCAGCACACATCCAACAAGTTGTTCCGGTTGATCGAACTCGATTTACTTTCTTGGGAAGTCGAGAGGGGGAGAAAAAACAACTTCAAGATGGTTTTTCTAGCCCTTTTCAATCTTTTTGCAACCGAAAACCAACTCAGCAACTCAATTTTAAACGTTTAACTAACCATATTTCCTTATTATCCTTTCTTTTTTGCTTCCTCCTCGACGGCCGCAACTTGATGCTGATGTGGATGATGCCACTGTGCTTTCCTGCACCGATGTCTTTTTTCTTCTTATTTTCCTGATTTTCCTGATGCTTTTCTCTGTCATTGTTGTTGCTGTTGCTGCTGTAATCAATGCCACTGTCACGGCAATTTGCACACACACAAAATGCAACACAACAACGAACATCGAACAATGAACAATGAACCACCATGTCCACAATGATGATACCGATGATGATGATGACGATGTCGATGACGATAACGATAATGATGATGATGACAACGATGCTGCAAACGACTTGGCATTGAACTGCCAATAACAACGACAACAATCGATGTGGAACCCTCGGTCATCGTGAATGCTGATGACGCCACCTCCCATAATATCATCTTGTGCTGGGGAAACTTGCAGGATTCGATGCAGCCAAGCACTGGCTGGCTGTGAGCTCCATCCTCCTGATAATTGGCGCTGCCAGTGTGGCCGTGCCACTGGCTCTACGTGTGGCAGCAAGTGAGTATCGCATCCAATCGATGTGAAACGGGTGAACTGGGGAACCAAGAGAGCAGAGGGAGGACCAGAGGAAGCCCCCGACACATCCCATCACAGATCCAAAACTGAGACACCGACACGGACACTCCATAGACAATAAATCAATTACCATAACGCATTCGACACGTTGCCCAGCCCAGGAATCAAGTGTTGCAAGGGGCGTTGTAAGTGGCAGGGCCTACAAGTTAGTTAGCAAGTGTTGCGTAAGTGCGGAAAAAATATGCAAAAGACAAGTTAAATTACTAATGGCTATGTGGGATGTTTATAAAGGATACAATATATAAGATTCGAAATGGTTAATATTAATGCTAATATCAAATCACAATAAACTAATAAAATTGCAACAAAAATTAAAAAGTTTCACACATTAAATTAAACTCGGCTTATGTTTAATATTAATTCTATTGCAATATTGCAAAACAGTTTTAGTGCTTCTATTCAATTCATACAACTTTTGAAAAACAACTTATAATGGAGAAAAGATAATATTAATTAAGGTATTATTCTAATTTGCCACCCCACAATTCATTTTTCAGGTGCGCCTTTCGAGGAGCGTTTACGGGTGGCCGTTCAGCTGCTGGATCAAGTGCCTTTAATCGACGGGCATAACGACTTACCCTGGAATATCCGCAAGTTCCTGCACAACAAACTCAACGACTTCAAGTGAGCATCTATCACATAGAAATGCAATTAAAATTTAATACCAATTTGCGTTATTATCCCCACCCAATGCCCAACGACCAACGACCAACGTCCGCCGTCCGCAGTTTTGATGAGGATTTGCGCAATGTAATGCCCTGGGGCCGCAGCCATTGGAGTCACACGGACCTCACGCGACTGAAGAAGGGACGCATATCAGCACAGGTAAGTGAGGAGGCCAAGGCGTCGCACTTCCTTTCAGGAATCCTTTGGTCGCTCAGGTAGGATTATTAGTGCGCGTAGCTTAAACTTGGCAGCTTAATACTCTCTGCTCATTGGGGTAGTTTAGTTTATTGGTTAGCAGAGATTTTAGTAGAGGTTCAAAAGAGTTTTCAACCATGAATATTGTACATTCAATATCAACCATTATTATTTTTGAACTTAAAGAAACATGTATAAAAAAACAAGCACATATAATATTATCCTTATTCATTAAACCATTTTCTTACAATATTTAATTCCTCCTCCTCACATGGTCTAAAAACATCATTACTCTCATATCACTCAATAAGAGCATTCAATCTTCTCGGTTTAGTCACGCCCAAAAATATATTTTAATATTTCATCCGCCTTGAAGTCGTTGCCCAGGCAACAGGCGACTTTTGCACTCAGTCTGCGGAATGAGGGAAGAAAAATATTAATTATGGGCCACTCACGGAGCTCAGGAGCAGGATGCTCCTGAAGCTGCTCCTTCTGCTGCCGATGATGAGGTTCTTAATTATTTTTTGCCAGGATACCGGCCAGGAGTGGTCGGATATCCACTTGGCGTCGTTATTGATTCGTTTATGGTTCGATTTCAAGCCAGAGAAATTCGTGAGCCTTATTTAAAGTGTCATTGAGGAGAATGGGTAAACAAATCGAATGATATGCCTCGCATTTAAACTGCTAAAATTGCTCAACTAATTGGGAATGAAGAGGGAATTTGTAATGATTGACGTGGCCAGCGCAACCAAGATTAATGAGGCAAACTGGCCAGAAAATACCGAAAGTAGGAAACGATTAACCTGGACGAAGTTCATAAATCAATGGGAAACCGAAAACCACTTGAATATTTCAAATTGTCCAGAGAATTTCCCTCCGTCCTTTTTCCCGTTTGCATTTTCCCTAACCCAACCGCAAAGACGATTTTTCACGTTTTCCGCGAGAGAAAAAGAGAAATGCACGAGCGAAAGGTAATGGAGGAAAAGCGAAAGCGGAGTTTCCACCTGCTTAGGTTATAATGAAAATTAACTTTTCCATTGCAGTTTACTTTGGCTCCCAGCAGAACCATAAATTCGGATGCATTTTGTGTTTGTGTTGAGGGCTAACAGGTAATTGCAGTTGGCCAACTACAAGCAAAGTTGCCAGCCGCAAAGTAAAATTATGCAGCACTCAATTTAATTACCCAGCCAAATGGCTCCGTTCCTGACTCATGTAATCGCAGAAATAGCGAGTGTATAGTAAAATGGTGCACTGATAAAAAAAAGTGTACATCGAATAAATTAGAACCATAAATGAGATTATGAACTTTAAAAGTCTTTCAATACTTAGCCATGCTGGACAAACTTTTACTTTATAAAATGCGGGACAGGAAAACCTTCTATATATTATATAATGTTGAATTATTTAGTCGTATATATGTATTTCTAAAGGCAAGGAATTAAAGAAAACGACTCTCATATATAATATATAAATAGTCAGCAAACAAATATTATTTCTCTGTAAATCCTAAGGACTGAGTTTTACGGTGCACTTAACGCGATGCTTATTAAAACTTAACACTTTCAACAGCCGCGATTCGACTTGAAACGTTGGTGGGCCACACACTCCCCATTTCCCATACATTTTCCAACTGGGAAAACCCATGAAGACACCCTCACACTACCGAGCAAGGAAACTTCTTGATTTCTTGTTCGATGGGCGTGGCAAGTTATTGCGGCAATTTCTGGTTTCTGCAGTTAGCTAATTGAACTTGTTGACGGGGCTTCCTTTTAGCAACTCCAACACGCTTCCGCACTAAAAATATTGTGCAACTTGTCAAGGTGCACTTAATTGGCAGGCAGAGTGGGCAAATTGGCTTCTCGGATGCATATAATTGAAGTATAAAGTACTTCAAGTTTCCAACAAAGAACCAAGAGTAGTTTGTATATATATATTATGTATTTACTTTGCAATGAATTTTAATAAATAAAATTTAAATATTTAATTTCATAAAGAAACGTAACTTTTGATAATTAGAGCGATGTTTGTGTAAAGTTTACTCATAAAAACGCCCACTGCCTGTCAGCTGAATAGTTTTTTATTGCTTCTGCTTAATGTGTTGCTCAACTGCGATTTGAGAACTTTAGCAACACTCGATTCCCGGCCAAACATGTTAACTCAATAAACTCGCTCTCCACTGACTAACAACGAAAAAACTGGAATGAGGCAAACAGCCAAACAGCCATAACAGAAAGTCAACAACGTGGCGACTAACTAGTTGACAACATGTTTCAACAATTGTTGCCCAAAATGCCAAACGTGCAGGGAATGCGCCTGGGAAGCCCATAGGGAAAATACCCAAAAGCTGAACATAGAGATATGGGAAAAACCCGTTTAATAGACTAGCTGGAAAATCACGTTTAAACCATCAAGCTCTCAAAATCTTGTAGGTTGCAAACCCTTTCCAGCGGCTCAGGCTTTTTTCCTCCAAGAGCCAACATCTGTGCCCAAGGCGACGCCTTGATGAGAAATAGAGAACATCAGGATAAATACACTGAGAGAAAAACAGCCGGAAAACAGTTTACTGATCGTCCTATGGTATTTATTATTCGCATGTAAGATTAGTTAAGAGTAACCAAAATTTTAGAAAATAAACAGATTTTTTTATTTTTTAAAGAGTAGTTCTTTGAGAAAATACTTTTGTATTTTTGATAATACTCTTTATAATATTTGTATTATCTACTGTGTAAAGAAAGAGAAGACCAGAAACAGGTAGCAACAATGTTGAAACATCATGGAGCTCCAAAAAGTTGGCTACTGTTTTTGGGGCCAGGACACGGAAACGTCGTGTTACGCTTGTCCGGTGGCATGGCCGCCTGCATTCTTCCTTTCCTTCTTGTATCCTCTTTGCTTCTCGTCCTTACACACCCACACACAGCACTCGCACACATACACACACAGATCGGGTGAGAGTCAGCCTAATGGAAAGTGCACACACATCGAAACAGTAGCTGGAAACAGGGACGAAGGACGCGCTTGGAGCGGATGTGGCCGCAACGAAGAGTCGTCGACGACGAGGCTGTAATCTGGGCCAGGACATCCAGGACATTCAGGGCATGCAGGACATGGAGGACACGCCATCGTTATGCGAGCAAAACTCGCCGCTCGATTGCAGTCCGCCTCTGTTTTTAGTACCCTTGAAGTGGCTAAAAGTTTCAAAGGGTTTTGATAAGTTTAGAAGAAAGCTCGAAATATATTAACGAATATAAAAGCTAGACTTTAAATTTTGTTTTTTACATTCACATTTTCTGATCCAGCTTGGTAAAAACAAATTTTAAAATCACTTAAATATTCTTTCCTCAGAAGCACTCAGTTAGTTTTTCAGTTTACTTCTCGTAGATCATAAATCACAAAATTTATAAGATTCAATTTTGTTTGAAAACTCTGTTCACTTCATTGAAGGGTGTTCACAAATTCTCTTCCGGTTCTAAGTTTATTTAAGAATTCTTCTTGTTGAACAACGCTTATCTTGTTGCAACGTTGGCCTCCAATTTATATTTACTTTCAGAAAGTATTTAGTGTTGTTCGGACTACCGGCTCAGAGGTAGACTCGGAAGTAGCCACTGACCCCAGACTGAAATGAAGACCGAGAACTCCACACAAATTTTTTTGTCTTGCCGGAATGATTCGGGGTTTTTGGGGGATTTGTTTTGCGGACTTGCTGCATTCTTGTGGGATTGTAAAGGTGTTGGTCTTGCGGTTTTTGCTGCCCACCACAAGCTGCAGATCCTGGGAATCCCTTTCAGTCCATTTCCCTCGCCATTGTCCCTATTCTCTGTAATTATGGTATGCATTGCAATGCCACAAGGCAATCAAATGCAGAGCCGCCCGGGGCGGAAATAATTTTAAATGCATAACGAACACATTCATGGCTTTGTGCTGGTCACAAAAGTGACACCAAAAGGCCTCGAATTCCGGCTCAGAAATGCTGATTAAATGCTTTTACAAATATGAATATATTTATTAAATTGTACTGGTAAATTCTTATTAAGAGACCGGCTAGAACCTATAAATGCAAGGCAAACAAATTAATTATTTAATTCCGGTTAGCAATTGAAATTCGTCCGCTATAAAGCAGGACCTTGAATATGAATATATATGTGGTTATAAGTATGCACACATAAATCTGGTCGCTTGGGGCAACCTCGGTCCCAGCTGCCGCTGCATTTGTTATTGTGTATTCTGCTGAGTTTAATATATGAATGCTCTAACAATAAGAGCGAGGTTGCACAAGCAACCGCAGAGAGTTGCACAAATTGCACAGAGAAAAATCAGTAAAACTATCTATCTATAACTATAAGTATTAAAATGTAATTCCTAAAGATGCCAGAATCTTTAAAGGTTTTTTATCGGCTCTTATAAATTTTACCTTTAACGTTTTTTTTATGTGGTTTAAAAATAAAAAAAGGTGGAGTTAATAGCTTATCCTCGAATATGTCCTTTGAGCGTATTTTTAGACCCGGTTTGTTTCTCCAGCTTAAGCCCACACACACACACGGAGATTCAGCCTCATTAGACAAACACATTCACACGTGCCGCCCATCGACAACAAATCACGCATATGGCCACCGCCACCGCAGCAGCAACAACATTGTCGGGATCACAATTAACTTGAAGCCAAAATGTTGTCCTTAAGGGAGTTGCCGCTGTTGTTCTTGCTGCCGCCGCCAAACAAGTTTAAATATTAATATGCCCTGTGCCAAGGATGCTGGGGGTGAAAATGGGTCTGGGAACTGGGGATCGGGGAGCTAAGAGCTGCGAGCCGAGAGCTGGGAGCTGAGAGGGGATGTGGCAAGATGATGAGGCTGATGATGACGATGGTTGCGAGGACAGCAAAACACCAAAGGCGACGACATCGAGACGCTGACGACACTTTGGCCACGATGATGACGCTAACGTTGGCACTGCTGGGACAACAAACAGGTGTATTTCGACGTGGGCGTGGCACTTGGCTAATGGCAAAGTGCCGTGCTTAAACACACTTGGCGGCGCCCCAGAAAGCCAAGCACACAAAAGGCCACCCCGAATTCCACTTTTGAACCAAAAGCATCCAGCGTCGCCGCCCGACAAACAATGGTACTTGGCCATTGTAAAGTCATATATGTGAAAAATGAACGAAGGATGTGGGCCAAAATGGCATAATGCCACCATCAACAGGTGCCGCAGAAGACCAAAACACAAATGAAATACTTTTCCTTGGATAAAAGAACAAAAATGCCAACATGCATTGAATACGCCAGCTGGCAAGTGCTGAATACAGGTGGGAATTGAAAGAAAAATAAGGAGAAAAATTGCGTGAAAACAAGGATTATAACGGTGGGAAAAATAAAGCAGGCACCGACAACGAAGATTATTTCAGAACAAAAATATCTGTATATCAAAAAACACCGATAGTAAACCAAACGTTGAGACCAAAATATTACCTGATAACTATGTTTTAAAGTAAATGTTAAAGGTTCTTAAAACCTATTTTTTCTAAAAAGGCATCTTCCCACAGTAAAGAATTTTAAAAGAAATATAGAAGCCGCAGCACCACAATCATCTTTTGAGAAAAGCAGACTTGTTGACTTCAATCATGAACTCAGACAGACATTTCACACCATCTCAGTCCTAAAAACCCGTTTAAGCGCCCACGAAAATTCTTTAAGAAGCTTTGCCTTGAAAAAATTAAGCAAAACGGGCCCGTCAAAAAAAAGGGACACATGCCGGGAAAGGAAATTCAAAGTAAGCGTAGAAAATGCCACGAACAAAGCGGGAGAACGGATAAAAAAATGAGTTTTAACCCCACACTTCTGAGTTCTTTGTCTGCGGTAATGTCGGCGCATTTTTCTTATCTACCTGGAAATGTTCAACGGGAAGCCGCAAAAAAAGCATTTAATGTAAATTGCTTTATTTGGCTTTTAATGCGAAAAAATGGAAAAAAGGTCTTACTTAATCGATAAAAAGGGAGAAAAGGAGGGAGATATATATGATTTGTATGCATAAAAGCTGGGAAGGGACTTAAAAACTTAAACACTTAGGCAACCATATTTCCATACTCATTTTAACAGAGTTGTTAATAATAAATAGCTCGATTACCCTACGCTAAAGTAAAAACAATGATAGATTTGTATTTAAATAATTTACAGTAAATAATAAAATTGTTCTGTTTTTTAAATCCCTGCTTTTTCTCTACAACAAATAGAGGTCCGGGTTAGGTAAAGATTTATACCTTTTAATTAACGAAATTACCAACTGCAGATGAATGTGCTACATATGTATTCCACGCAATCATGTTTTCCACAGATTTTTAAAGCCGGAACCCAGACACAGCCATTAGCACTGTTATCATTTATCCGAGCGCTTCATTATTTCACCCGGAAAACATAAGCAAAGAGGCACCTCGAATTCCGAGTCCTAGGTCCACGCTCACAAATGAACGCAAATGGTAATGAACAGAGTTAGTGCTGCACGGTCCATACAATTAACCCGAATTGAACTAATGCCCTGTAGTCTGCCCACCTGATAAGCCCTCATTCCGGGGAGCATTTCTCCCATTTTTGGGTGTTTTTTGGGACCGGGGTATGCAGAAGTGAGCTGCCCGGGGAAGCACAACTAAAAATCAACAGTGGGAAAATGTGTGTGTTTGGGAAAGGGTTTTGCCAGGTTCAAGTGGATAAACTTTATGCCTCCCAAACGGAATTTTCAGCTGTCCCTGTTATTGTTCAGTGTTTATTCGGCAGAGTGGGAAAGGGAAAATGCAGAGCAGGTGCTGGGAAATCCACAAATTTCCTCGTCTGTTGTGCAATTAAAATTGCACAAATGCAGAGCCAACAACCGAGTTGACCCAAGTCCCTCGAGTCCGAGAGCACAAATCCAATTGCACAACTAACACCGCACAGGGCAGTCCATCTCTGGCCGTAATTGTTTTTCTGTGACTCGTTTATTGAAAAGTTTTACATATTTCATATGCACGTTGGCCAACCTGGGAGCAACTCGAATTTAGCTCCATGAATTATGCCAAACTTTATCATCGTCCCTCATCATCATCATCGTCATCATCATCAGTATTTCCAGAAACAGAAACAGAACAAATGAAAATTTAGAGTTTCAGCTTGTTTTGGTTTTAATTTACTGCCTTGGCCCAGAAAAATGGTTTAAAACTACGTGCTTGGCGCGGAGGAAAAAAAAAGTTGGGGAGAAATAGGGTATGTTTTCCTGGTTCCTTCTTCCGGGTTTCTGGTTCAGGCCTCTCACGAATTTATATTAAAAATTATTTATTACGAGACTTCCTCAGTTTTCGCTTTTGTGCGAGTGTGCCGAGCAAAAAGCCAAAACTTTTTAATTGCTCTTTTTCCCGAATCGCTTTTTGCCACTTTCCAGCTCGTTCCTCATTCTGGTTTCTGTTCCAGGGAGACACGTACGTGCTTTTATTTTCCTTTAATGATATAACGTGATGAAACTGTTTTGCTCACTTTTTCTTGTCTGCTCCTTTTCGTGAACTCTCTCGAGGAGTTGCTGTTTATAGGAGGTTGTATATCACACTGCGTAATAATGTGCAATTAACAAAAAACTTTCAGATGCCGGAAAAAAATGACAATAAATCGTTATGGCATAAGGCGAAAACTTTGGAAAGAAATGGTTTGCTTTGGAAACAGAGCAGACAGCTATAGCATAGTAGTTTAAAGCTTCTGTGCATGTCGAAAATTTCCAAGTTTCCCAAAACAACATTTTCACATGCTATAAGTTTGCCAATTTAAGTCCCGTTTCAAAGTGGCATACCTCTTAATTTTGGTAAAACAAACTATTTTTAAATATTTTCTCGAGGTTCGATTTTTGACCCCTGTTCATGCCGAAAATGTCAAATTTTTCAGGAGACCCAAAAATTTTTTAATTTCGTAAGGGTTACATGTTTTCCCATTTTTATATCAAATTCAAAATAAACTGTTTCATTACAATTCTTTAAGGGATTTCAAAAAAAGCCTTCATATTAAAGTTTAAATATATGTAAGACTGTCGTTGATTTAATTCGATTTTGTATTTTTCAGTTCTGGGCCGCCTATGTCCCCTGTGAGGCGCAACACCGCGATGCAGTGCAACTCACTCTGGAGCAGATCGATGTGATCAAGCGGCTGACGGACCGCTACTCACCGCAGTTAACCACTTGCACCTCCGCCCAGGGTAAGTTTACCGAAATATCGCACATACGCCGCGTGGGCCAGCAGCATTCCTGTGCCGGGCAAATAACTCAAAGTATTCCGGGAACTGCGAAAATGCCAGCCAGGCATTCGGCTGTTCCTTGCCTTTTTCCACTATTTTTTTTCGGTGGGCTATTTTTTGTGTTCCGCTTGCGCCGGAAAACTTTGACTCGCGAGTCTTGGGCAAAAGTTGTTGAAAAGTATCTTGGCCGGCTACCAAAAAGCAGTTCGCCGGAGTAGATGGCGGCCCTTGAGGCGGCTTTTGGGGCGGCTGCTTACCGCGTGCCATATTTTTGCACCATTTCCTTTGATACGCTGCTCACTCACCTAGTTGCCAGCCGGAGAGGAGGCCTCGTTTAAGCGAAAGGAAAACAGTTCATATTTCTTTGTGTAAGCAGGAATTGTGGGTCTCGGGGAAGGGGCAAAAGGCGTGGCAGTTGCAAGACTTCCACTTGCCAAATAGCAAAAAAATCACTTAGAGAAATAAATCTATTTGAAGGAATTTATGGTTCTTATGTCACCGTACTTATAACTAAACGAAAACAAAATAAAATAGTTTTGTTATTATTTAGGTAACTTATTTTCAATACCTGCAAAGGCTTAAAAATCATTTAATTTAATGTGTAACAACACTTAAAATTATCTACAAAAAAATTTAAAAAATTAAAACTCGATTGATATTTTTAAAAATGTTAACAAATATTTCGATTTAAGTGTAGGAAAACAGCCAAGAGCAAAAAACAGAGACCCGCAGAGCAGCGTTGCAAGTAGCAACTTTTGACTTATGCTTCGACTCCCCGGCCAGCATTTGAGTTTCCTTGTTGGTTTTCCGTTTTGCATTTTGATTTGCACTCACTTGGTTCTAAGGTCTTCGCAATATTTTAGTGCTGCATCTCAGACTACAACTGCATACACACACGCATTTGAGAAATGGTACTGGAAAAAATGCTGGAAAAACCAACAAATCGCTTCCGGCATTTGCGTTGAAACATTTATGTAGCCGTAAATGGAAATGTCAATAAATCATGACTAAGAAAAATCATCCGCAAAATAACAAGAAATATCAAACAGGAAAACTTTTAGCAAAGAAATTTTGCTGCACAATTGCATGCACTCAATGGGTGAGGAATGGATTAATTTTTTTTTTTCAAAAGCCCATGCATATTTTTTGACAGGTGAATAGCAAAAAAAAAAAACAAAACCAATGAATAGTAGCACATATGAACAGCTGTGTGAAAATCAAACGGAAACATCGGACTGAGCAATTTGCCAATCTCCTTGATGGCTTCAGTTTTTTTCATCTTTCTGTTCGAGTCAGCAGAAAATGTTTGCTCTTAATTGATGTTGTTTTCTTTCTTTTTTTGTGCCAAGAAAATTGGATTGAGTGAAGCGAGTGAAGTGGCAAATTGAGCAATAAATTTGAGTAAAATTGGAACAGAATGGGAAAATGGACACAACAAATTTAAAGAGGGGAAAGGAACTGCAACAAATTATAATAGATATTATATAAAACCGCAATCAGTAAGCATCAGACTATTTATTATCTTTAAATAAAAACTTTTCTGAATAGGTTTGAATTCGTAAAGCCCATAATTCTTAAAACACTCTGCTATTAAAAATAATAATATGCAAACTGATTCCTACCCAAAAAAAAGTTCCCAATTACTTGGCAAGCACAAATCCCTGCCACATTTTCATATAATCGAACGAAATCCCTTTGAGCTGGTTGTAAACAAGCTGCGAATCAAAGGCCCAAGCGCAGAAATCAAACCGAAACCCCGGGAAGCAAAAAAAACTGACCTACCTTGCCACACTGCAAAGTACCCAAATAAAAAGGGAATCAAAATAAACAACCTCGCCTCCCCTTTTTGCCCTACAACCCTTAGTTTTTTTGTTGTGAAATCCCAGCTGCCGCTGCATAAAATAAAACCGAGCATTTTATTTTAACTACTGCAAATAAATTCAGTCGAAATTGTTGTCCGCTCTCGCTCACATGTCGTGTAAATAAAATGCGAATCCAAGTGACTATTGAGCAAGTGCAGCGGGGCGTGCTTGTCCCACTCCGATCTCCAGGACTTGCTCCTCGGTTCCTTGCTTCCAAAGTGATTGTAAAAAATGCAAACCTAACGAACCGAAACACAACGCGTCGAGTGACGGGCCACGTCACTCAGTCCGCTCCGGAATTCGAGACCAAATCCAAGTCCAAGTCCATGTCAGCGTACGAGTAGTGCAGTTTGAAGTCCTGGTCAAAGTAGAAGTGCTGCACTGGAAAACCATGCAAAAAAATTAAGTATACGTAAAAGTGCATTCTTAAAAAAAACAAGTAATTGAAAAACAAAACTTAAAAATAGTTCTTAAATTCAAAAATGTAGGCCTAATGTAAATAATAATTACCTAGAAAATATACACATCGTATATTTATATTTAAAAATCAAGGGTGAATAATACCTTCATTATTCATTGTATAGCAAACTAATTTTTTCCTTAACAAATGTGATTAAATTCCTCGTAGTGTTAATCCAATTTTTGTACTAGTGCCTGTCCCGTTGCCAACTAAACAAATGAGCGCTGCATAAACACAACAGTCACACACAAAGAGCGCTGGGGATATATGTATATATATATCCCGGTATATCCTTGTGGCAGTTTCCTTCTCGCCTGTCACCTGCCAGTAGCCAGCTACTTTACATTTGGATCTCCCATGTGCGAATCGTTTTTATTTGCAGTTTTCAATTTTCACCTTCAAAAGTGTAAACTTCAATTTGCACTGCTGCAGCACCACAATCCGAGCTGCAGGATTGGAGCACCAGCTCCTGGAAAGGATATTGGGAAAATGGCATTCTGCAGCAGCAGAAAGAAGAATAAGAAGCGAGTGGAGTATTTGGCATCGACCTAAGCCCCCCTATCGTTTTTGTAGAATAAAGGGTATATTCCCTAGAAAAGGCAAAACAATATAGAAAAGCATTATATAAAGTATAAAAGCTACAAAACGAAAATAAATGTAGTAAGACTCACAAAGAAATTCTAGAAAGATTATTTAACATATTCTGAAAAGTAGAGTATTCTATGAGAATCTTTCCTTTGGTTCCCTTTTTTTAATTTTCCCACAAAAAGCACTTGCAGCTCAACTTTTCCAAAGTAGACCCTTCAGGGTATCTAATCTTTCACCAGCTCCCCTTTAGCAACTTTCGTTGTTCCCCTTTTTTGTGGAGCTGCCGTTGCCATTGCTTTTGGTTTATTGCGTCAAGTGGCATTTGGTTGGGATTTTCATTTTGTAATGTATTGTAGCATTTCCCGTGTGCAGGGGAGAGAGTGCCTCACGACCAGTGCCTCAATTCGCATCCGATACGGGGGGCCATCTATTATACATTACGGCCCTGGTCACCAGAAATCGAAAACAGTGGAAGTAACAGTCACAATCCCAGTCACAGACAATTACTTGCAGCCTCGAAGAAGAACGAACTCCAAGTCCTGGTCCTGGCTACAAAATTGAACTTCAGCTCACGTGGCGCATTTTAGTGCCTCGCCGTCCGGAGAAGGATTCGCCAGTATTGGTTTTGGTATTGGCCCCTGTACATTTGTTTATTTGCTCCATATTTTAGGGTTTTACGACGTTTCCGACATCGACCAGGTTCTTGTGGCAGGTATTTTGGCTTTTCCCAACAATGCGAAGGGAAAAGCGGAGGGAAATATAGGGGACAATCCAAAGAAACCACACAGAAAATAAATTTATTTATTTGTCTACTCTTGCAATAAAATATCCTTTATTTTATAGTTTCCAGATCTTTTTATTTGCTTCCAAAATGTTATTCATTCATTAAACCAAAATTTCACTTAATAAAATGGGTAAATAGTAATATAGTTTTGTTATTTTAAGTTCGAGTGACTTAATTATACCTCGGTAGCAAACTAATTACAGTAATTTTAATCATTTTGAAAACAGTTTTGTGTTGAAATTAATAAATATATTTTCCCCCAGTGCACGCAATAGAAAACAGCATCGAGAACGATTCCCATTTTCTTCCACCTGCCGTTGCTTTTGATTTTGCAGAGCTTATTTGCTTATAGCCATGAAAACTTCGCCAGTCCTGTGTCTTGAGTCCTTTTCCTGTTGCCAGCTTCCCCGCCCTGGCAGGCAAATAATGCCTTTTGGCCTTCGTTATGTGGCAAAATTTATTAACCCGCTTTCCGTTTGCCTTTTCTGTACTTGTGAATGTGGGCGATACATTCGAAATGTTATCAAAATTGGGCACACAAAGGCTTGATTTGAATAGCTGGCAACCACAAAATTTCAGGGTCCAAATGCTAAAGGTATCGAGAACATGTTCCCCCAATTAGTTGCAGATAAATCGAAAGGGCCGTTTATTGATTGACAAATCCATTAAAATGGAAATGTTTTCCATATCAATCAATGACACATTTTAACCTTCTAGAGAAAGGCAAAACTTTGTTTGTTATTTATATAATAAGGGACTTGAAGATAAACATTATATATTAAATTAACTCAACCGTTTTCTGAAAAATGGTAAATCCATACAAAAATCTTTGACAAAACCTGTGATTTATTTCGTTTCAACCTCTTGAAAAGTTTAAGTCAATAACCCATACTTTTAAGTCCTTGAAATCTTTCACAAATTTGATGATTTTAAATTACATAAACTTTCCAACTGACCATTGAGACAAGATTTTTGGCAAAACTCTACTTGACGCCACTCCAGAAAAGCTGCACTTACGCACAAACAATGTAAACTTGGCCAAGAACTTTAAGCAAACATGGCTCAAGCTTGGTTGGCCTAAAACAATGGTAATGAATGAATGAGCAAAGTGCACAAGTATTTTGACAAGTGCTCGTTGGCAGCAAAATAAAATGTCAAGAAACAGATCAAAGCTACCCGAGCCAAGACAAGCGTGAACATTGCATGGCCCAGCGAAATGTTTTGTTGGCCAGGGATAAACTGGCATTTTAAGGAGAGAAGGGGGAAGGAGGGAGAGGGACGTAGTCCCAGGACCCAGAATTTAGAATCCAGGACCGACCACAATGCACTGAGTGCTCAATGGGGGCAGCCGAGCAAATGACAGGCCACAGAACAACAAATGTTACTCATGCCCAAAAAACAATGCCGAGCCAAGTTTGAAGTTTAAGTTGCGTTTCGCCACAAAAACCCCTAAAACATTTCGGCCACACATCCGTTTGGTTGCACAGAGGGGAAAGTTTCAAGGGACATGAATTAAGAAATTTTTAATTTTCATTTATTACTCAGAGAGCTGTTAAAGTGGTTACATAAATGGGTTAACAAATATAATTTAGTGGCTTGTCAATTACCATTAGAAAACAAAACATTTGCAAATAAATTGAAAGTAATGCAGCTCAAATTCACTTTACCTTTATTTAGCAAGATAACTTTTGTGTATTTTTCAATTAAAATAAGATATGATCGTTCTCCCCTTAAAAATCCTCTGTACTTATCTGCATATTCTAATCGCATTTTAGAAATTATCGACGCCCACAAAAACCAGCAGTTGTGCTCCTTGACCGGCGTGGAGGGCGGCCACTCATTGGGCGGATCCTTGGCGGTTCTAAGGACCCTGTACGCCATCGGGGTGCGCTACATGACACTGACCTCCACCTGCCACACCCCCTGGGCGGACTCGAGTTATGCGGACGCGCCGACCTTCAACATGAAACACGGCGGCCTCACAATATTCGGCAAGGTAAGTCCACGTCCTTCCTCCTATTCTGCTGTTACAGCTGATTTAATGCTAATTAGTTGAACGCTCCTTGGTCCCCGATTGTGGGTTGCTGTCCTTTGTGCAGCTTACATGGGGATTTGGTCGCTGATGAGGCGTCCTTTCTGTCCGTCCCGCTTTCCCCTTCCCTTTTCCTTTCCCTTTGCTTGACTTTTCCCCGCCGCCCAACCTCATTGTTCGTGTTACGGGGGTCAACCGCAGTCAACGCTTTGTTGGCTTAGCCATAAACATGTGCAGTGGCAGGATGGGCGGGGAAAAGGAGCACTGACAAAAAATCTACTTAAGAAACCAGCCTCAGAAAGTTATTTCAATGCAACTACTAACTCGATTTCATTGTATCAGTGAACGAAGTAATATTTATAAATTATAATTTAGTATTTTATATTTTACCATTATTATTCTTTTCATTTTGTAAACATTGATATTATCTCTAGCCCAGCAAACTATCTCAACATTGTAAAAATATTTTTATAATGCCAAATAATAATTGTGGAATAAAGTTAAAAAACGTATTACCTCAAGACTTAGTAATAGCTTATAAATATTCAAATTTCAATCCTATTTCTTTGTGTGTAGGGGAACCTGAGCAGGTTCAGCGAGGGTAGTTCCGTACTTAAGTGCCCTTTCTGCAAGGGGGGCTCTTAGGGTCCGTTGGAAAAGGGAAGGGGGAGGGATCTGCTGGCACCTTGTGCCCTCTAATGGCTCAACAGTTCGCAAATTAGGTGCCTACTACAGTTTACAATTGGCAAGCGGCTTAGCTGCGGGATTTTCGTGTGACCCGGCCAACCGGATCATATATATTAAATTAGGTCCACGGACTGAGGTCTCCGCCTCAGTTGAGTTCCGAAACCGAATGCGAATCCTGCGGCCGTCTTCAGAACTTAATGGGGCATAAGCGGCTGCGGCAGCTCGAATACCTGAATCTATTATGGATTTCCGCCGAAAGGAGTTCAGCAGTGGGGGGGCATCGATTTCATGGTTAGCTGCTAATTGGGTATATGCAAATAAGCTTGCTAAATAATCCGCGCAAGATGGAAACAGCTGGCTGAGTGTTCACGCTTGGCCAGCGACAATCTCACACGAAATCAGTGAACTTTAAGGGGTTTTAAGGTGTACGCTTAAGTAAAATTAAATTCACACGGCATAAGAAAATATCTCGTTTAAGTTTCCATTTGTTTTCAATTTATTTCTTGGAAAACATTTTACTTTATATGCATAAAGCACCTTCATGAATAATTCCAACAAATAAAGCTTGACCTATTTATTTTGGCTGTGCAATTTCCAATGAAACAATTCCAATCAAAATTTCCGATGAAAAGCCATCTGAACTTGAAATTCCATCGGCATTTCTGGGCTCTCAATCACGTTGAGGTCATCAAACTTAATGCTGTCAAGCATCAAGGCCAGATGGCAATCATATTTTAATCAAAATTCACCTTCTTCAGTCAGTCAGTGCGCACAGTCACTCACATAAATACGCAACCCTTGCGTTTTACTTGTGTTTATTTTGACTGTTTAGCACTCGTGTCGGATTCGCATGTAATTATTCTGAAATGCGAATTTGCCTCGAGCACCTCGAACCCCAATGATGAGGTTCAAACACGATTACAGCGAAATTGCAATTTGTTGGCGCTGTTTGTTCTTGACGGGCCTCCGCTTCCTCTTTTTCCGTGGGCTAGTGCCAAATGCTATTTGCAGTGGTTTCGCCGGGACAGACAAAGTGCATGCGGAAATAAAATGTGCAAGAATGTTCACCCAAACAAACCGAACAAGAAAAAACAAAAAAAAAAATAAAATAAAGAAAATAGGAATAGCAACAATAACAATGGCAGCGTAAATATCAACAAACCATCACAGCTGGCTGCCTGCGAACAGGAAATGTAAATTACTGAGGACGCAACATGCTCTCGAATTATTTATGCTTACAAAAGATATATTTCTGCGTGTTTGCTTTCGATTTTCCACCGACCAGCGCCCTGCCAATTAAATGTGGAAAACAAAATGCCAACGAATACACGAGCGTCACTTCCTCATTTAACCTGCGGAATTTTCAATTACACATCTGAAAACAATAGACAACGAACAAAATACGAAAATGAAAAGTGAAAAACTGGCTCAGGGCGCAGGCGCCAAGAGAGTTTCCCAGCGAGAGCGAAGGAAATCGGAAAATAGCCAAAAAGAGCGAAAGCTTGCCGTGGTGTTGGTAAATGGAAAATTTTAGACGATGCTGAAATGAGCAGGCAATGGGAAAATCGAAATTTTCATTCATACTATAAGGTGAATTGCACAGTGATGAAAATCAGCTAAGAATTAAAAAAAATATTTAAAAAAAAATTGGTATTATATTAAAATAGTAATTACCTTGTTTTATTTTTAAAAACTTTTCAAGATATTTTCCTTGAAATGCTATAGGAAATAGCATTAGCTAAACCAAGGGAAACTTTTTAAATCCTTTTATTTTAAATTGTCATTTTGGAAAAGTTCAAATGCTGATAAAAATCTGTAACAAACTTTTTATAATACGAGTACAAACTGCATATTTTATTAATTTCCTCTATGAAAACATCCAGTTATACTCCCTTTTTAACTAAAGGAGAAGGTAACCTGCATAAAAAATATAAGACATATTACCTTAAACATTTATTTATTTTAATTTAATGGACACGGTGGCCACTTAGCGCTGTCCGCCCGCGCTGTCTAAAAATACCCGTCCCACCGCCGCTGCTGCCACCCATCAAGTGGCGCCAGTCACATGGGCCATGGTGAAAACGGGCTCTCCGCTCGGCATTTTCCGCTCGGGGGCTCTCCGGCTGGCTTTTCCTCGCTCTCGCAACTCTCGCAACGAATTTGGCTCGGTGCTTTGTGGTAGGAAGTGGCCCGTTTTCGATGCGAATCGGCTCTTTGGGGCGCCGCGGTTTCAGTCGCCGAACGATTTTCGCCCCAACAACGAGGAGGCAGCTGCTAAAAATCGACTCGTCGCGTTCTGTGAAGTGAATGGAATCGAGGGAACGAGACGGAGGAAGGAAAAGCAAGAAAATACGAAGATACACAAAATATACACGAAATTCTTTTTATAACAAACCAAACGCGCAACGCAACAACGCACATAGAAAAAGGTGAACAAATTAGCTAATAAATTCGAGTACTAACCCTCCAATGTTTCTGGAATGCAATATGTACTAACCCGAAAGTAAAAAATATAAAACTAAGATAAGAGAAAATCGAAGAAAAGCGATGAAAATGCAGAGGCAAGTGGACTAATCGACTACTTCCTCCTCCCATACGAAATCGAAACGAAAACCCAACAACGACGACGACGACGACAACACTTTCTGGCATCGTGATTTGATGATGACAACGCAGCAGCAGCAGCTTTTGGGAAAGCCAGCGAAGTCAGGGGCAGCGGAAAACGAGGAAAAACCACCAGCAGCAGAAGGAGCAGGAGGAGAGATGACGGCGGCCACGGGGGGTGGGAGTGCGGGGGCGGGCGGAAAGGCTGGAAAGCACAGGTCGAGGTCATCCGCCCGCTACGACGATGTGGAAAAGCAGCAGCGGAAAAGCCGAGCCATCGTCTCCATACCAAACACCATCAAGCTGAGCATGCTGAACAGCGGACTGCTCTCGTTCGAGCGGATAAAGCTGGAGGCGCGGGATGAGAACAACTCGCTGTCGAAGACGATACCGAACGGACCCATCGACATTCGCCACTTCCTGAAGCTCTGCGATCTGCGCCGGAAGTTCCCGGTGCTCTACAAGCTGGAGTTCCAAACCGCCGCCAAGGTGGAGAGCAACACCTGTCGGCACGCGCTCAAAAAGAACAACGTGGAGAAGAACCAGAATCCCAAGTGCATTCCCTATGACTACAATCGCGTCGTCCTCGAGAAAGTCGGCGGGCTGCAGGACTCGGACTACGTGAATGCCTCCTACGTGGATAGTCTGCTCAAACCGAATGCGTATATTGTGACCCAGGGTCCGGTGGAGGAAACGGTGCAGGCCTACTGGCGAATGGTCTGGCAGGAGAACATCAGCGCCATCGTGATGCTAACCAAGACCTTTGACTTCGCCAAGGTCATGTGCCACCAGTACTGGCCGCCCAACATGGAGGTGCACGAGCAGTACGGCGACATCTTAATCAACATCGTGAGGGAGGAGCAGCTGGCCAACTTCCACATCCGCACCTTCAGGCTCTACAAGAAGAACGAAAAGGAGGAGGTCACCGATGAGCGGTTGATCCTGCAGTTCCACTACACCGAGTGGTACAGCCACTCGTGTCCCTTCTCGAATGCCTTGCTCGAGTTCCGGAGGAGGGTCCGTCTGGTGGTGGGCAACATCATCAAGGACGAGGACGATATGAGGGGACCCATCCTAGTGCACTGCAGCGATGGCGGCGGCAGATCGGGCGTCTATATGTCCATCGATGCCAATTTGGAGCTGGCGGAGGAGGAGGAGTGCTTCAATGTCTTTGGCTACCTCAAGAAGCTGAGGCAATCCCGCAAAGGACTGGTGGAGAATGTGGAGCAGTACAAGTTCATATACGACACCCTGGAGGAGCACATCATCTGCGGCAAGACCTGGTTTCCCGTCTCGGAGCTCTCGGATCGCCTGAAGGCCAAGGCCAGACGGAACTCGGGGACCAAGATGAACGAGTACCAGGCGGAGTACGACCAGATATGCAAGCAGACCCCCCGGTTCACCATTGGAGATTGTGCCGGTGGTCATCGGGCGGATAATCGAGAGAAGAACCGCGATGTCCTGTGTGTTCCCCCCGACAATTTCCGACCCTACCTGACCTCCTTCCAGGGCAACGCCTTCACGGACTACATCAACTCGGTGTTCGTGGATGGTTACACCAAGCCCAGGGAGTACATAGTGACCGAGTGGCCGATGAAGCACACGCTGGGTGAGTTCTGGTCACTGGTCTACGACCAGGAGTGCTCCGCCGTGGTGGTTCTGTGCCAGCCGCCCTCGCAATCGCAGCAGTATCCCTCGTTCTGGCCGAACAAGTCCAAGATGGAGAAGTACGGACCGGTGTTCTCCGTGCACTATGTGATGTCCAAGAGCTACACGAACATCAAGCAGTGGGAGTTCAAGATCAACAAGAAGATCGTCTCCCTCACCGAAATGATGGCCGGCGTGAAGGCGCCAACGCGAACCGTCCAACTCTTTCAGCTGACCTGCTGGCCGATGGGCCACAAGGTGCCCAGCTCGACCAACTCGCTGGTGTATCTGATGAACATGGTGGAGATCTGGCGCAACAAGGTCGACTACGGACCCGTGTGCGTTGTCTCGCCCGATGGTCGCAGTCGGGCCGGTGTTTACTGTGCCGCGAATGCGTGCATCGAGCAGGTCATCCAGCACGGCGAGGTCGATGTTTTCCAGGCAGTGAAGACTGTACGCCGGCATCGTCCTCAGCTAGTGGAGAATATGACCGAGTACAAGTACTGCTACGACCTGGTGCTCCACTACGTCCTCCACTTTCTCAACAAAAAGGAGTGAGCAGTGGGAAGCATCGCATCGCATCCTCCAGGAGAATATTTCAAATTTGTTTTTTTAATTCGGCACCGGCTCGTCGGGCTGCCGCGCTTCGATGGTTAACAATGAAATCCGAAATACTTGTGGTCCACATTTGATGATGCCTGGTTTTCCTTTTTACAATTCCGGGCACCGCCTTAAAGCAATAATACTGAGTATTTTTGTTGTCCACAGAAGAGAAGCCAGCGAAGATGAAGGAAGATGTTTATTTGTTACGAGCGTCGAAATGAAATTTCACGCCATTAAAGAGATACTTTTTACTTGTTTTTTCGAGCGAAAAAAACAATGAAACTATTATATTGTATAAGCTTTTTGATCTGAAATGTATGTGCCATTTGTAACCCTAGTTGTTGTTGTTATAAACAGAAGGATACGAACAGTGTGATGGGGAATTTGGGTATAGAATGAAGTAACGAAATGATAGGAACAGAGAACTATTACCATTAAAATTTATATTTATATCTGTAGTTATTATTACGTTTACTCTTAAAACTTGCTACCTGGGCAATTGTTGATATATATCTAAAACTACATATACCTATTATGAATCTATTTATACATAAATATATATATATATATATAAATGTTATGTACTGTTGTAAATGGAAAATCGCTGCGTTTTTTCCATAACTGTTGACAGAACTTTATTTTTTATTCATGTTAAAGAAGAAATATTTATTGAGCCACACGAACACAAAAACTTCAAGGTGTTGAAGTAAACAAACGTTATACATATTGTTTATTTGTGAGGAACACACACAACAGGCGGAACACTCAAAGAAAACTAAATAGTTTTATGATTGCATCATGATTTTCCTGTACTTTCGCATTTATGCATTCAACACACGAACCTACCTACATATATTGTCGTAACTCTAATTAACTTATCTTTTTAATTGTGTATAAATGTGCGTATGTCCATTTTATCCTTTGTATAAGCCAATCTACATGTGTAAACACTTAGCACAAAAATCGTATTGGATTAGGCTAACGAAATGAAACTGAAGCCAAGAAAAAATGAAACGAATCGAACTTCAAATGTGTGTTCTTTATTTACGCTGGATTGGGAGGGTAATAAATTCTAACTTGAAGTTTGTGGAATATTTCCAGACTATCAAACAATTCACAGTAATACGTACACATTTTTTTTTTTGCTTTGGTAAATTCAATTTTTATTTAAACCAGTGCCCTACTTTTGCGAAACGAATCCATCTGAATTCACCGATGATCTTGCCCCTCCACAATTTTGCATTCCTGAGCTGAGTCATAAAATCGAAATATCAATCAAAATGTTCGCCGTTCGCCTTTTAGGCTGAGATCATTCCCGAGTAGAGTGGTTCCAGATGAATTGGCAAATGGATATAAACAAAACATTTAGCGATCCCAGCGGGCGAACAAAAACAACAACCCATATAAACCTTGACCAGATTACAGTTTAATGCGTGCAAATCAAACAGAGGCGTTGTCCATATAGATATGGCCCCTCGATAGGGCACCGAACACATCGGGTAAGCGATGAGGTAAGGGGTGATGGGGGAACCGTGTGCGGTTGCTATAAAATCGATAAATGACAACACACTTTGCTTTAGTCGGCAATAAAACCAACGGCAATAATAGTTAAACTTCGTGGCGCACAATGACATCAGCGGAAAATCGGGAAACGAGAAAAGTCCGCAATATGAAATTGAAAAATTGTGTAAAAATCGAAACGGAGCGATTAAAGCCAAAACGTAAATCAACCTGACTGGCAGAAAGTTTTCCGCTTTATTTATACGGCTCTCCTTAATTCTGGATGGATTTTTGGCATTGTTTTCGCCGCTTTAATTGTGGCACTCACGCTGCGCGGAAATTGTTGCCATGGCTGAGGCCAAAATTCATGCCAGACAAATAAACCAATTAGGTTTTTGGAAATTTATCTTTACGAGCTATTAATACAAAAGGCATGCGCGTGGCCAAACAAATTGCAGGCGGTGTTCGGAGGGGGGGGATGGAATTTAGTTTTAGTTAATTAAAAAGTCAGTGGCAATTAATTTAGGGGCTCTGCGCGGAAATTTATGGCGCGCACATAAAGTTATGAAAGTGAATCAAAGTGGATTGGCAAAATTGGAATTTTTATGGGGGAAGTTGCTACAAACTTTATTGGGATAACCAACCTCCACAGTAGAAATTTTGTTAAATTTTATTAATTGGCATAAAGCATCGCCTAACTTTTCCAGCACTTTAAATTTGTATTTATTGTAAAACAATTATACACATTTTTTAGGCCACGCAACTATTTTGCGGAGTGTTGAAAAGTTAATAGTCCTACAAGTTGATTGATTAGTTTTCTAGTTGAAAAATTGTTTAAAGCTTGCGGTGTGTGACCAGATACTGGGTTGGGGGCTTTCTGGTTGGTCACACTTTAACTTGGCCATAGTAAATCAAAGTTTTAATGGCTGCCAGCGGGTGGGCGTCTGTGTGTGTGTGTGTGTGTTATTGTGCTAAACATCCCGAGTTGTTAGCACACATGTTTACAATAAGCCCGGCCAGTCAACTTGAGTGCCAACAAACCAAATGGCAGCTGCAAGGACCAGACAAGACAAGCTCCTCACCCACACAGGATCTTTGGTATGTTCAGGACAATGAGTATTAAGCAAATGCAACACACACGCGCACACACACACACACACATACTCCCTTTCCGGTTGTATATACCCACGCATATAGCTTCATATTCTGAGGCAAAGTCAGTCACTTAGGCGGCCAGGAGCGACCATTTCAATTTGTCAGTCATCAACAGGACCAAGTGCAGTCTCCTTGCATCCGTGTGTGTGTGTGCGTGTGTGGTTGTGTGTATCCTTGTGAGTATCCGTGTGGGCCTCCAACTATTTGTATTGTGTGCCTGTCAAAGTCGTCGTGTTAACATTAATTAAATCCATTGCCTGACATGCACAATACTGCACTTCCCATCGCCATTGTATTTGGCCCGAACCATTGAGTTATTGGTTTTGATTCGACATTTTTCATTAACCAGGGAATTCCTCGGCCAACACATATTTGTCGCAGCTATTTAAATATTGAACAGCGCATTACGTAAACACGCATTTCTGTGCTTTTGTTAAATTGCAAATTGTCACCGAGCCACTGGCACGCTGAAAAGTATGCTAAGCCCCCAATGGGAAAATAATCGCAAACAACTGTTTTATTATTCGCATAATTGTTTTCAATTCGCTCACCCACATGTGTGTCTTTATTTGTATTCATTTAAATGAAGTGAGCTGAATTGCCTCGAGGAGTGTGCATTTCTGAGTTTGTTTAAAAGAGCTTATTAAATTAAAGGATAAAAACACTAGATTTCACAACCAGAAGCATTTACCTAACTGGATTCCCAGGTCTTTAAAACGAAGGTATACCTATATATTTTTAAGCTGATAAGCAATCTTCAATTCGTATTTAAAGCTCCGAAATTCATATTTTAAGTTTTAAATCAACTGCAAATCAATTTAATTCTCTCTCTTTAATATTAAATGCTCCTTCATAGGATTTCGATGCATAATTATGATTTTATTAATGTTTCCCCCTGGCCAATCAATGTCTTTTGTTCGGTGCATAAAACCCACCCAGAGCTGGCTTATTTCAAATTAATTGAAAACGAGTCGGGGCGATGAAAAAGGAAGCCCGGGGCAGTAAGTAGATGCACAAAAGGCATTTGTTTAATTATTTAAATTTAATTTCATGTCACTTCAAATTAGTGCCACTCGTTTTCACTCCGAGCACGTGGAACGTATAAAGAGCCACCTTTTTTACCCCACATTGCCTGCAGATGTGAAAGGCTAAAGGCCAACACTTTTTAACTCATTTCCATTACGTGCCCGACTTCGCCGGCTTCTCCTCCCTTTCGGATGGCGTAAATAAATGGCAAAATGTTTTTGCATTATGCTGCCAACATATTATTATTATTCTTATTATAAGCTCGTTTCGTCGGCGCGGTGGCATGCGTGACTGAGTGCCGAGAAGTGTGTGCATACAGGTGTGTAATAGGCATCACTGCAATTGCTCTCCAGGTAAGGGAAGCAAAGCAAATACACGTAGACGGTGCATAATTGAATTAGGCCCAACGGGGCCCAGGACCAGAAATGCCTCAAACAATGGCTAATAATGCAAGCTGCAATTGCCGCGCGACGGGAAACTCAAAGTGGCTGCTGCGGAAATTGCCAGAAAACATTGGGGAATAGACGGCGGAACGAATAGGGTAAAATTATTGTGCGATACGCCAGACTCTTAGCAAAGAACGACACTCCATTGGGAATGGTAGAACAAATAAATATAGTTCAAGGCTCCAAGGGAAATTATGTTGGCAAAATGAAGCTGCGCACTCAAAAATTAAAGCTTAAAACATCTATTTAATTTGTTTATCAACGATATCAATACATAAAAAGAACAAATTTTCACATTGAAAAAGAAAACGCAATGTCATTTTAAATGCAAAACCACGACAGAATTCCTCCATTAATCAATCAATGATTTAGGGTTTGTCAACTGAGCCGCAATCAAAAAAGAATGCGGAGCAAATAAACCATTTAAAACGTTTAATTTCACAATCGAAACCCAAATTTATTTTGTACATATTTCATTTTAAACTTATTTTCCGTTTCTGGTTGAACGAATTGATTGGCGATTGGTAAATTATTCATTACATTCAACCAAATAATTGCAACTCAACAAATATAATCAAATATTTATTGATTTGCCTAATGGCATATGCCATATCCCCATCAATAATAGAATTTATACCAGCATATATTCATTGCTCGTTACTAATTATGTAATGAGCAAGCCGCAAAATATATTTTTAACGATAGCAAAGAGCTATTTCCAAATTGCATTCACAACCAAGAGTGCACAATTTAATTATAATTGCTTTGTTCTTTTTTCAGATTTGTTATTCGGTAGAGAATAATGTAGAGTTTATAGTTTAGCTTTGATCAATTTTTTTGGTGACAATTTTCGTGATTGCATTGTTTGAACGGAAATAATAATTTAGATAATAATTTTAGGTCTGTTTTAATATATTTAAATATTATTTAGTTTAAAATATTGAAAAACCATACAAAACTTAATCACCAAATATTTTTGTCTGCCCAACTTGAACTATAAGTCCTTTTTAATTTTGCTTTTCTGCAGACTAAGCTTCAAAATATTTAATTAAATAATAAACTATAATTTAATTATTTTACACGTAAAGTTTTCAAGTTGTCAGGGCGTTGCAAAAATTGTTAATGACATTTAGGCAGACAAAGGGCGAGGGGGCGTGGCATGAGAACTTTTTCCTGCCCTAGCCAAACTTTTTGCGGCTTAGTGAATGCATGTGTGAGTGTGTGTGTGTGTGTTGTAGAATGCACAAGAGCGTAATTAAATACATAATGAACAAGAGCCGAACAAAATATAAACAGCGGGCTGAGTTTTGAGTCGGGCAGAGTTCGCTGCATATCAAATGTGTCTCATATGGGTGGCTTATTCACATACAGGACTCACAAAAACGCTCCACGAAATTTGTTCAACAACCGAGCTGCGGAAGCTCATTATGAGTGAACAACAAAGGCGGTGGCTGTTCATTTTAGCTGCCGTGCTGCTGTGGAAATGCATCCCAAATTTGCACTTTGCTGCTCGAAATTAACTGCAAAACAAAGGATTCTTTGTTTGGTGTCAGTAGAAGTTTCGACTGCACTACGCCTTTTAGGCTTTTAATTAATTTAAATAGGAGCTGAAAATGATAGGGTTACAAATTGTAGGATTTAATATTCGAAAACGAATTGATTTCACAATTGAGAATTACTTGATCTGCAAACAATACACTTTCGGATGTGTGGAACTTAATATTACTGCAGCACTTTCGGCTTTTGCTAATTAATTGTTTGAACATCAAGTGGAAATTATTTTTGAGCTGTAACTCAGCTGAGAAATCTCCACTTATCACACTGCCCACAAATCCTGGCTTCCGTGTCAGATTCTGCTATCCATCATCATCAGCCAGCTGGCCGGCTGCATGAATATTTAAGC